ATAAATATAGACATGTAAATACATGTAAATATTTTCAAAATATATAATTTTATGTACGTGCATTTATATATACACAATAAATATACACAGAACACACACATATATTATGTAAACAAAACGTTTATTTTGTATGCGATTAATCACGATTAATCGTTTGACAGCACTAATATATACAGTGTATATATACTGTATATGTATAAAATGTATTTACTTAAAATAGTACAAAATTTTGTTTAGAAAAATATAAATTTATTTTATTTATTTACTAATAAATTTGTTATGATTCAAGTGCTGCTGTCATTAACACAAAAGACAAACCAAACCAAGACATTCTTAAATTGTTAAAATAGTTTAACTTCTCATTAAAACTAATATGCTGCAAGCTTAAAAAAACAATAAAAATATAGAAATATTATGCATTTAATAAAAAGTAAATGTATTTTTATTAAAATTCATTTTATTTTTTATTAAATTACATTTAGTCCATACATAAAATATATATTAAAATGTTTGATTAATATATCAATATTATACATTTAAAAATCTAATTTAATTATTTAATTTTATTATTTTACAGTTAAAAAATGTGAACTAGATGTCACCACTGATTTCAGACTTTTAGACCCCATTATAAATTAAGAAAACGTGCCATAACTGCGATAATGTCGGGATGTTGCTATGCTGTTTTGAATAGTTTTAGCATATTGTGATTGCCAAGGGTGTTGCTAAGTGCTTGCTTAGTTTTGCTGAGCAGTTTTGAGTTAAATCAAGTTAAATAATGGCTCAGTCTGAATTTTAACAGCACAAGTCCTCAACAAGCCACATGATTTCAAGGCGTAGGACGGACAGTGAGAAAACGAGATTCATGCATAAGTTTGCTCAAATACAGGATGCTGACATTAGTAAAAACAAAATTTTAGACAATTGTTTGTGTGTGTAGATTTCACCTTTTTGTGCATTTCGCGGACTTTCACACATCTCGCAGTGTAGCAGCAATCCGCTGTTGGAGAATGTACATGCCGAACAGTTCCACTTCTGATTGTGGTGCGGAGCCTGCAGTCCCGCCGAGAGCCTTCGGGGGGCGCACAAGGACGACAGGGGGCTCTTCTTACCCCCACGTCGTGACGAGGGGCTAACCTGCCTAAACCGCTTCACCTGCGGAGAAAAGTCCTCCCCCTGGTCGGCCTTCAAATCAGAGCTCTGGATCTCTGGGGTCCGAACAGGCTCCGCCCCCTCGGGTAATTGGGCGAGAGGAGATCCGTTGGAGGGTGAATCCCCGGTTCGTTTCCTCTTCTTTTCTTTGTTCACAGAGGGGGAAAAAAACGATCGGATGTCGTGCTGCTTTTCCCTTTCAAACTGTGGCGGATGGGAAGAAAAAGAAAAATTTTTGTGACACACAAAGTGTTTGAGGCTAAGAAACTTCATCTCATGACAGCAAAGTGATGAAACCAAAGACACTTCAGAGAGAAAAGCACTTTGTGCGGTTCAGGTTTCCACGACTGAAAGGTGGGAAGCCTTGTCGTGTTTAGGAATGCCAAAAGTACCAGTTCTGTCACTAGCAGTGATAAATCAATCAAGAAAAAAAAAATTACGAAGTAGTAATTTCATTTGCTATAATGAAAACAACTAATTTTACTGCTGTTCGATGTTGTTTTAGTGTTTTAATTGTCAATTTGCCTGTATATATTAGAATTTTTGCATATAGCATATTAGGGATGCACCAAATATTCAACCTAAATTAATTGGCCAAAAATAGCCAAAAAAGCTCTTTCTGTGTTCAGCGAAAAGCAAATAAATTGTACCGAACAATGACGTGACACGATCAAATAGAGGCGTGCACTAATGCAGCAAACATTTCAGCAGTGTGGAAGTATTTAAAACTGTCTGAGAAAGACGCTAATATCATTACAAGCACCGACAGCCAGAGACTGTTTAGCACTGCATCGCATGTCTTTGATGAGAAGAGGAAGGTTTACTGTATGATGATTGAAATCGCAAAATGGCCTAAAACAATTAGTAAATACATAAATAAACTGCAGAACGTTATGTTTTCAAATACACACACAAATTGCATGCATTCTGACAGTGCTGCACGAGCTCGCGGCGCTATCGGCTTAGCCACGGTTCAGAGTCCAAACCTGGGCTGAAACAGTGTTACTCGTCAGTTGCTCAGTAACATTTTTATGAATTTTTACAAGGCATGTGACAATGCGATACGTGTGACAAACGTCTTCGCAAATTCGTAATGAGAATCATTTATAAATCTGCTGTTGTCAACAAAAAGAAGCACTGAGGCCTTCCTGCAGGTTTCCGCCAAAATAAAAGCTGAAAAAAAGCAAGAACTCCAACATTTATAAATGCTTGTATTGGAATTTTACTGTTGTTCTGTGAAATACAATAAAAAAATAAGACAATAACAATAATTACAACAGCTCTGTTAATATTTTTTTTAAATAATATTTATAGTGTTCAAATTGGGATCCATAATATTTTCTAACGTTTTAAAAGAAGTCCCTTCTGCTCAGCAAGGCTGCGTTTATTTGTACAGTACAAAATGCATGCCTGATTCAAGAAGGGGGTCTCAAAAATGGCCAAAAAATATAATTTTACTAACTTATTAATTTTAAGTTAAATTGTACTTTGTTGCTAGAATGTTTGCTAGAATGTTAAAAAATGTTCAGTGTTAAGTAAATATTTTTAAATTTTTGTTTTGTAATTTATTTTGTCTTTGAAAAGCAAGACAAAACAGTAAAAAGCACATTTTGGCTATTTAATTTATGCAATGGTGAAAAAATCTGGAAAAATACATGGGGAAAAAAACACGGAAAACCGTGTTCGTGTTTCATTTTGTTTGGCTTCGGCTTCAGGCAAGAATTTTCGTTTCGGTGCATCCCTATAGCATATTTGTTTTTGATATCATGACAACTGTAGTCGCATTTTACATTTAATTTATAACAATAATGAAACGTTTACGTACATGAGAAAAGAAAATTCCATCCTTGTCGTCCTCAGAGTCACCTTTCATGGTGTCGCTTGGCGTCCATGCCTTAGCAAAGTTCAGAAAGTCCCATTTCTCTTCGTCTCCCACCTCAGCTTTCAAATACTCTTTCTTTCCGTTCAGAGCGCTGCCCGTAACCGTTTCCTGTCCAATATCATTTGTAAGAATCACAGAAAATGAAGGCACATTTTCCAAACAAGTCTCTCCAAAGTAGATATTGTGTTGCCACTTAATTTAGTCCCAAGACATTACATATTGATTATTTTAGAAGTACTTCGGCAAGTCTGGAAACTATGTTCGCACCAATTCAAAACTGTACATTTAAAGTAATCTATAAAAATGTTCACAAAATGACAGTGAAACTTTTTGAGTGCTTCTATGAATACTGAAGGTGACATTTTTTCATTATCTGAAGGTTGAGCTACCTTTCTGTTTAACATGGCCCACATGACGGTGTCAAAGGTTCCTTTGGCAATGAGGTAGTGGATGTGTACCGTAGTGGTCTGCCCTATGCGATGTGCTCTGTCCTCTGCTTGTTTGATGTGTCCTGGGTTCCAGTAGAGTTCGGCAAAGACCACGTGAGACGCAGCCGTAAATGTCAGACCCTGAGCACAAGGAGAGTCATCTGTTACATACAGTATGACAGCAATATTTGCATGTGAAGTTACTGAGGTTGACATTCTTGAGTGTTACAAGGTTGAGAAAAATAAAGAACAGTGAGATGTTACGATATTGAAGTTGTGTGAAACATAACGGACGGTGTCGTGATTAAGCGTACCAGGTAACGTCTGAACCACATGCCATACGTTTATGATTGAGGTTTTACACGGTTGCGTGAAATGTTACGAACAACAGGTGTTACAAAGAAGAACAGTACAATGTAAATAATGTTGAATGTTACAAGACTGTGTGATGTATAAATTTATCAGGGGTTGAGGTGTTACAAAGTAAGATATATTTAAATTAGGTATGCACAATGATATCGAAATGTTATCGGAATTGGCCGATAAAGGCTTAAATGTAAACATCGCCATCGGTCAATTAAAAAAAAAAAAATTGCCAATATATCTTGCCGATAAGACTAATAGCTCACATTTGCTCAGGGTGTGACAGTGATAAAATCACGTCAGCAGTGTGTTCGTTCTTGAAGCAAACTTTTGTCTGAATGATGATTTGATTCACATTTTGGATTGCCGCATTTAATTTGAGAATGCACGTACACAACGACGCGTCCGGTGTGCGAGAGAGTCAACACTTTCTAGTAGTGCAGCAGCGGCAGCCTCCTGGGCAGGACCCACCCGGGTCCTGATGCCTTACCGGATTTATTTACTTAGGGGGCGCTGTTGGCCTCTTTATAATAAATAAAAGTAAAATAAACAAATAACATTAAGATACTTGTGTTTCTGAATAAATAAAGCAGTATCAATGTCATAAAATCACGAATCTGTTTTGAGTCAGAAGCTATACCTTACATGAATAAAAATCCCAAACATGACACTTGTAAATTAAATAACTTAATATATACAGATTTATTCAGTAATACGTAATATTTTTCCAAATGGATTATGAAAAGTTAAATACAAGGAGCTCTAAAAGATTTTTAGAATTTTTTACAGCTCTTTTAATGTTAAATCTACAAATAAAATGTTAAGGTTTCAACTGCATCTTCTGAGGAAAAAAACAGCAGAGACTGATTTTATTAGTTATTTTCAAGGCTTTCAATGTACCCTCATTAAATAAAAAAACTTTAATAATGTTTATTACTTCTAACAAATACGTTTTTGCTCAAAACTAACCAAAATTAAAAATAATTTGTTTATAATTTCCGCACAGGAGAGACTTGGTGTTGTTTCAAAAACAAAGCGAAATATATCGGTATCGGCTATCGGCCAAAATGATTTGAAAAATATCGGCATATCGGATAGTGGCAAAATCTAATATGGTGCATCCCTAGTTTAAATAATAACAATGCATTTACAAAGTTGTGTAAAGTTTAACAAATAATAGTACGGTGTTTACAAGGTTGAGTGTTACGAGGTTGTGACATACTGTATAGAAGAATGGTATACATCATATAGTATGACAGTAATATTTAATTTAATCGATAAATGTAGTTATTGAGAGTGTTACAACAAGGTTGCATGAGGAATAAAGAATAACACTATGATGTAACAAGATTGAGGTGTTATGAGGTTGTTTAAAACATTAAGGTCGAATGATGATTAAGTGTTTGAGATGCTACAAGGTATGTTTACAAGGTTGGGGTTTTATAAGGTTTTGTGAAATGTTACGAACAACAGTGTTTGAGAAGTATAAATGAACAGTTCAATGTTTACAAAGTACTAGTGTGATGAGGCTGTGTAGTTTATTACATCAGGGTGTTACAAGGTTGTGTGTCATACAAACAGGACCATTACAATGTTTGTGACGTTAAGATGTTAGAAGTCTGCTTTAAGTGTAAAGAAGAACAGTATAGAACAGTATGATATATTCAGTGTTTGGGAGCATTAAAATTTCAGTGTTACGAGTTTGTAACGTACTACATAGAGGAATGTTACAATGTTAGCGAGTTGGAGATTTCACAAGGTTATGTCAAACAAAGTAACTTGTAATGAGTTAAAACTTGTTATAAGGTTAAGTGTTAATTAATGAATGACAGAATTTTTTTTGACAGTATTCAGTGTGAGACATACAGTATGGAGGTATGTTAAAATGATTATGAGGTTGACTGTTACATGGTCTTGTAGAGGAATGTTACAATGTTTATGAAGTGAAGATGTTACAAGGTTGTTTGAAGCATTTTCAACTTAGTGATTTTGAGCTTGAGTATTACAAGGTTGAGACATACTATATAGAGGAATGTTAAAATGATTACGAGGTTGACTGTTACGAGGTTATGTGATATTTATGTAAATGAATGTTACAATGTTTACAAGGTGGAGATGTTACATGGTTGTTTGAAGCATTTTCAACTTAGAATGATTACTGTACAGTGGAATGTTACCAAAGTTTACACAGCGGAGATGTTACAAGGCTGTATAAAGCATTTCAAAACATACTTATGATTACAATGTTGGGGTGTTACAAGCTTGCATAAAGCGTAAAGAAGAACAGAGTGGGTGTTACAAGAAATATGGATGTTACAAGGAACTATTACAAAGTTGTGTGGGGATTTACAAACAGCAGTACAATGCTCATAAGGTGTTACAAGATTGTTTACCTGTCCAGCTGCCTGTATACTTAGTATGGCCACACGCGTGTCTGGATCATTTTGAAAACGATGCACAAGTTGGATCCTCTCTGCAGATGGAACACTGCCATCGATGCGGATATAACTAGCCTGGAAAAGAGTGCGGAAAGAAGAGAGTCTAAAGTAAATTTAGGTTTTTAACATTTTCATTCTTTTATTTATGCATAAAAGCTTTGTAATTAAGGCAAAAATTGCACCTTTAAATCAAAATCTCTTCCAACTAAAAGCATTGCGAGAAGTAACAAAACTCATAACCATCGACTGACACAATAAAGACTGAGTTTTGCAGATCTGTGGTTGTTCAGAGAGCATTAATGCACTCAAGTCGAAACTTACTGCGAATGTGACACATCCAGAGTTGGCAGTTGGCAACTTTTTAGTGCGTTTCAAGTACGTTTTTGGCATTATCATCTTCCTACCATCATCTGACAGCTGTAAAACACAGGTGAAGCGGTGTACAACACCTTTCTCATTCTGCCTCGCTCAACTTCAGAAATTTTCACACCCGTGTTAATTTTAGCTTCCCGACTAACTTCCCATCTCTCGCTCGGAGTGCGAGGAGCGTGACAGGTGTGAGAACGTCGGAGCGCGTGCGATCACACCTGCTCGTGCGAGGCCCCCTCTTCCCCCATAAGATTCATAAGCACCAATTAACGGCAGGACAGATAAAAAAAGAAAAAGCCGAAGAAAATCTTCACAGTGTCTGGGATCAAACGTCTGGCCAGAGAGCAGCGAAACAAGAAAGTGAGAGAGAGATGGAGGAAAAGAGGGGGCTGGGAGCCAAAAAGAAGAGGAAATTGACAAAACAAGCTCTCATTAAAACAGTGAGACATCTGTGAAGACACCGTGTCGGCAACCAGCCGCGCTCTTTAGGGTGCAAAGTGTTTTCAGCGTGCCGCTGTGTGAACAGGCACAAGAGGAATGAATCGTGGTAAAAGATGAATCAACAGCTCTGATGAAATGTCTGTTAGACAACAAAAATGGATTTGTCAAGTGATGCAATGCAAGTTTTGGGCCGATACCATTCAGAAGTGCACCGAAGTCTGAGTCACACCAAAGTTTATGATGAATTATTTAGACCTGGATCATCGAGTCAGTGAGGTGATTTTGAGAACCTGATCAGTAAGATTTTTGAAAGTCTGGTTTTGTGAAATGGACCAAATGATTTAATGTATAAATACGTCTGAATTTAAATAAACCATAGTTTTTATGTCCATACTGTTTCCATAATCTTAAAAATGTAATTCATTTCTATGACTTTTTTTCAGGCCTGGAAATCACCTGATATTTCTTGGTAATTCCATGTTTTGTTTTTTTTAATAATTAAATAAATATTATAAAATTAATAGAATATATAATAAATATAAATATTTATTCATGTATACATTTAAAAAAAAAATGACTGAATCGTTTGATCCAGATTATAAAACCACTCAAAATAATTAGTTTATAAACCAGACTTTGAAATGAAGGAATTACTGAATTACTTGATACCAGTTCACAAAATCAGTCTGAATAATTCATTTACAAACCTGACTGATCAGGTTCTTGAACTCAACTCACTTTCTTTTCAAAGAAAAATTACTAAAGCAGTTGATCCAGTTCACAAAACGAGTCTGAATGATTCATTTACAAACCAAATTGATCAGGTTCTCAAACTCAACTCACTTTTTACTGAAAGAAAAATTACTGAATCAGTTGATACAGTTCACAAAATGAGTCTGAATAATTCATTTACAAACCTGACTGATCAGGTTCTCGAACTCAAATAACTTTTTACCGAAAGAAAAAGGACTGAATCAGTTGATCCAGTTCACAAAATCAGTCTGAATGATTCATTTACAAACCGAATTGATCAGGTTCTCAAACTCAACTCACGTACTGAAAGAAAAACGACTGAATCGTTTGATCCAGTTCACAAAATGAGTCTGAATAATTCATTTAGAAACTGAATTGGTCATGTTCAAAATTACTGAATTATTTGATCCAGTTCACAAAATGAGTCCGAATGATTCATTTACATGTACAAACCGAATTGATCAGGTTCTCAAACTCAACTCCCATTTCCTGAAAGAAAAATGACTGACTCGTTTGATCCAGTTCACAAAAAAAGTCTGAATAATTTATTTACAAACCTGACTGATCAGGTTCTCGAACTCAAATCACTTTTTACCGAAAGAAAAATTACTGAATCAGTTGATCCAGTTCACAAAATCAGTCTGAACTATTCATTTATAAACTGAATTGGTCAGGTCCTCAAACTCGACTCACATTTTACCAAAAGAAAAATTACTGAATCAGTTGATCCAGTTCACAAAATCAGTTAGATTGATTTGATTACAAACATACGGGGCTGCGTTTCCCAAAAGCATCGTAAGCTTAAGGACATCGTAGACCCATTGGAACCAATGGAGTTACAATCAACTTAGGCTTACGATGCTTTTTGGAAATGCAGCCCTGATCAGTTTCTCAAATTCAACTCTCTCAAAGATCCAACTCAAAAGAATAATTTATTTCATGAATTGGACATCGTTACTTCATGAAATGCTATCAAAGAGTTTAGGATGGATATCAAGAGGACTTCAGAAGACCTGAAATATAGCACACGAGTCGTATGGACTATTTTTATGATACTTTTATAAATCATTTTGAATCTTTCCAACGGCACAATATTCAATTTCTCTAATTTTGCTCATCAGAATGAAGAAAGTCGTTCAGATTTTCAGCAACAGCGGTGAGTAAATGATGTCAATATTGACATTTTTGCATGAAAATTGTTTTTAATATAACTTTTAAACTTGTGGTTTATATACACACACTCACCTGATTGACAGCGAGACTCTAACCTATTCTTTTGCCATAAGAATAAACCAGTGCCCTACTGAGGGAATGTGTTAAAGCAAAGAATGAACTCTACCCAGGGAATCAACACGCTCTCCTTCACCTCCTTTAGTGCTGTCAAGCCCTTTCATTCTGTTTTTTCCCCCTTTCACACAAACACTTTTTTGGCCTTATCTCTCATTCAGCTCACATACACAAAAACATCCACCTCTCTTTCTCTCTCTGAATGGGTCAGTGTGTGTGTGTTGGGACGGCGGTGTGACAGGCTTTGCTGCTGGCTGATTTAATGAACAGGGTTGAGGTGCTGACATACTTTTGCTTTCACTAGAGTCTGAGCGCACACGCGCACACGCGCACACACACACACACACCTTGGCCTCGATGACAGCCTCGGTACACGCCTGCAGCATGCTGAGATGATGAGCGAAGACCAGAAACTTCAGCTGTTCGGTCTCCAACATCATCTTTATATAGTCCTTCACCGCTCCGGCCTGAGAGAGATGGAAAGAAAAAGAAGGAAATAGAGAACAATCATATCGTGATCCATCCAGGAAATGTCGTTTAGGAATTCTAACATTTAAAAAATTCGAACATTCTAAAAAGTCAAACATTCTAATACGGTACCAAATGAATTATAAAATGGAAAGTTTCAGATCCAACATCTAAAAATTAGACACATGAAATTGGTTCTGAACGAATGCTACATTTGATACAAATGGTCACAAACAACGTTATATATACATTAAAAAAATTATTTAAAAAATATTTATATATCTACATCTCATTTTATATTTTATATACACTACTTTTCAAAAGTTTTTTTTTTGTAAATAGAAGAGTTTTTTTGGTTTTGTTTTATTTTTGAAAGTCTCTTCTGCTCACCAAGGCTGCATTTATTTAATCAAAAATACAATAAAAACAGTAATATTGTGGAAATATTATTTCAATTTAGAATTACCGTTTTCTATTTTAAAGGATTTTAAAATGTAATTTATTCCTGTGATGCAAAGCTGAATTTTCAGCATCATTAATCCAGCCTTCAGTGTCACATGATCCTTCTGAAATCATTCTAATACACTGATTTGCTGCTCATATTATTATTAATGTTGAAAACAGTTGTGCTGCTTAATAGTTTTGTGGAAACTAATAAACTAATGTGGAAACGTTTTATTCTTCGATAGATAGAAAGTTCAAACATCCACATCCAGCACCCGTATAATCAGCACTGGAGCTCCTCAGGGTTGTCTATTGTAATTTACCTGCACATACAATTGTCGATTTATATATTTTTATTCCTTATTTACTTGTTCTATTTTTTTGTATTTTTTATTATCTGTGTTTTTGTTCTGTCACTGTCATTCTGTTACACTGTGGAAGCTTCTGTCACGAAAACAAATTCCTCGTATGTGTAAACATACCTGGCAATAAAGCTCATTCTGATTCTGATTCAAAGCATTTATTTGAAAAAGAAATTATTTGTAGCATTACAAATGCATTTACTATTGATCAATTCAATGTGCCTTTGCAGAATGTATTAATTTCTTTAAAAACTCTATTTTATTTATATTATTATTATATTTTTACCATTTATTTATTTAATGTATTTTTTTTTATAGAAAATAATCTCTCGACTTGATCTTGTGGCCAGCAAGTTCCCTGGCAACCTTCCTAGTAGTTTTCTTCTGTAAAAATCTAGTCTATAAATGTACTTACTAATAAAACCCAAGTGTCTTTTATTATAGTGCTGTTGCTGGCCTTCATAACTGCAATCTGCCACGAGTGCTAATGCGATTTTACTACATTTAACAGTGTTGTTTCGCCACTTTAATCCCAAATTGACTTTCATCCAGTGAGACCTGCTTTTCCATCTCCAAAAAAACAAAAACAAAACAAAAAAAACAATAAAAACACGAATCTCCTCAAAATCCCTAGACTGCGAGATAAACTCGTCGGCTAACGCCCGTTATGGTTAGCATAGTTGTTAAACGAACAGCGTACCGAGTCATTTGCCGGAAGCCAGTCCTCTTTTCCTGAGTTTCAAAGCTGCTCTCGGGTTTCTCATTACTGAAGAGTTTTGCCTTTTTAATATCGCCTAATTGGCGCCCGAAACTGTCTGTGAAGGAGCGCGGAGGCTTTTTTTTTTTTACAGCCTCGAGTGTACACGTGTGCGCGGTGGCTCCGGTTCACTCATTTTCGCTTGGCAAAAACAGCGATTACAAAAAGCGACACCATTCCTGACACCGCACATTTTTGCCCTGAGAGAGAGAGGATATCGTCTCAGTGGCAAACAATAAATGAAAGAGCAGAGAGGACAAGAGCAGCGGGGACCAGAGCACACGGGTTTGACAAATTAAAAAACACACACACTGCTTTCACACTCGCGCTGGTTTGATACACACGCTGGAAAGCTTCATTCAAGACGCACGCTGTGCTCAGGAGGACGATATTAAAGTGGTCGTAGCTTAAATCGTTCGAGAAGAAAGAACGTCTAAAACTCCCGACGGAATGAATAGTCTTGCTTTTTTACGACAAATCTGTGCAAAGTCCCTTTTTTTCTCTGAACTGTGATGTTAAAGTTCGTGTGAGTGATGCAAAAAGCCACGAAAGTTGCGGCAGGTCTCGTCTGGAGCTCATAAAAACACCTTGTTAAGTGCGAGATCTGCAGGAAAAGATGTCGGCCGATCAAAAAGGTCAGAGTTAAGGTCGGCGCGACGGCGGTCTGGCCCTCCCGGAGCTCGTTCCCATGGCAATGCGGCGGTGTTTGATGTGGAGAACAGAAGGGCCGGTTGCCATGGTGGTCGTTAGCGGCGGTTTCACGCTGTCCCTCATCGTTAGAGGAGGGAAACTCGCTGCAGATGGCTGTTATTCGGATGGCATTCAGAGAAAGAGATGAAGTTGAAATGAGGGCTGGCTGACTTTTCTTTTACTCGGATGCTAGGGTGGATCTAGTACAGTAATGTTTTGGTTTACAGGAAGGGTTGTTGAGGTTTCAGAAGAGTTTAGGCTTATGAATTTTGCCTGATTGATGAAAAAAAGAGACCAAAATTTTATAGTCTTGCTTTGAGGGACATGAGTCACATATAGAGACTAGACTTTTCACCTAGCAACCACCCAGAACACCCTAGCAACATGTCAGAAATAACCTAGAACACCTATCACATCTATCTACAGCATCTATCTATCTGACTATCTGTCTGTCTGTCTGTCTGTCTACCCTTTCAGTAAACAATTAAACAAATTTCCATTACTAAAAATTACGTAAACATTTTTTTTAAGTAATTGCTATTATTTTTAATAGTGATTTTCAGTATTTTAATATAAAAAATATAATATATAAATATATTTATACATGTATAAAAAATTACTAAAAATAAAAAAATATATGTTTAAATGAAAAATTAACAGACATTGAAGGTACTATAACAATTACTACCATGATGCATACATACTTTGAAATGTAAATGTCATATTTTTCCCATTACAGTAATGTGAAATGGAGAGAAATGTGCTTTTTGTAATAAAAATAAAATATCTAAATAAACATATCTAAATAAAAAATCTAAATAATATATAAATAAAAAATCTTTCTGGTTCCAAACCAGTGGTATTTTTAGTATCAAGTTATTTTTATTAATATTTTGAAACAGTTTTTATTTTTCTGTGTTTTTTTTTTATGTCTATATTCTAGTATATTTTGAAGTACATCAAGTAAAACATTTTATTTCAGCTAATTGCCAAGGCAAGATTTGTATTTCATATGTTCATATGTTCATTTTCAAATGTTTCTCAGATATGTTCAGGAACAGGTTTCATGAGATTCACACATTTAAAAAAAATAGTAATGTTGGTAACCGATATGGTCGATTTATCCCCTTTTTCTAAATTTGCTTCAGTCTTAAACTAGTACACTGAAAAGAGTTTTTGAGACCCAAAGGAACACAAAACTCATATACAACCCAGTAAAAAAAAAAAAAAAAGGAAGTACACAGAAATTCCCACAGCATCAAGATCTACAGCCATTTTAGACAATTAGGGCGATGTGAAATGAGAAATAAACATCTTGAGGATTTTGCACACACTCTTTACCTTGGCAATGGCGGTCTGCTTATACATGTGTGTGATGAGACTCATCACCTCCACAAACTGATTCTCACTCTCAGAGCTCATCAGTTTCTCCCACCGCTCAAAACTAGCACTCGCTTCCTGTGAGAAGACGACTGCCAACACAATGCCCAGGAGAGAGAGGATGGCACACACACACACACACACACACACACACACACACAGAGCCCTGCTCTGCCCCTAAAACAAATGCAGATCCGCCTGCACTACCCGAGAGGTGCTGCCAGGGTTTGGACATCAGACTGACAGGAAGTCAAGCAGTGAATGAAGGAAACGGAGCGCGAGAAAGACACACAACCATTATTCAGCCCAGAGCTCCTTTATATGCTTCACAATGTATAACATAACACTGATAATTAGGTGACAAATGTAAAGAGAGTAAGATACATAGATATAGAGATAATATAGATAGATAGATAGATATATAGACAGACAGATAGATAGATAGACAGACAGACAGACAGATAATAGATAGATATTAGATAGACAGACAGATAGACAGACAGATAGACAGATAGAAACAGATAAATAGACAGAGAGACAGACAGACGCGATGGATGGATGGATGGACGGACGGACGGACAGACAAACAGATAAATAGACAGAGATAGACAGACAGACATATAAATATAGATAGATGGATAAATGGATGGATAGATACTGTATAGATAGATAGACTAGACAGAGACGGATACTGTAGATAGACAAACAGATACTATGTAGCAACAGACTGATAGATAGTATAGATTAATAGATTTTTGTAGTGTAAATATTAATATAAACATTAAAAACATGAATCTTTTCACATTTTCAAACAGCTGTATTATCATTTAAACCTAAAATTGTGGAAGAAATCATTTAAAACAAATAATTTCTATGCTTTTTGTATTTTATGAAAGGTGCAATTAAATATACATGTTTTTGTAATACAAAAGACTTCCACTCAACTCATTTAGCTGTACTTTATTCCGTTTGTTTCACATCTAGACGAACCGAAAACCAACCAAACGTCAACACACAGAACAACAAACGCCTTTCCTAACCAAAACAACCAGAAACAAACTGAAGTTTGTAAATAACCTCACGCTAGCTTTGCCGAACGTCTAGCGCGTTTGTAAATATAAACGTGTAAATTGGGCAGTGAGGGTCAGCAAGCGAGTCGCGGGGCGCGGGTTTGCTCCACCCAACCATTCGTTAAAACGCAGGTCGTTCATTTTAAAAGTGATCTGGTGAGATTTGGGTTATAGTGAAAGAACATCTGTCCCCTGGACCGCTGTGTGTAAACTAGTTAGACAGAGAGCGTGTGTGTGTGTGTGTGTGTGTGTGTGTGTGCTGACAGCAGATGATTTATGAGGTCCTACAGCAGGTGAGCTGCTCTTTGTGTTTCTGAAATCTGACACACACACACACACACACTCAAAACTTGCTGTACAAGCACTCCTGCCCACACACACTCATTACTCTGAGAGAGAGAGAGAGAGAGAGAGAGAGAGAGATAGAGACAGTCGGAGAGACAGACAGACCAAATAATCGCAAAGAAAACGAGAGCCTGCTGGAGATATAGAGGGAAAAAACGGCTTTATCGTCAGCCAGACTGAAGGATTCTCACACACTGCTGCCCTGGTCCACAGAAAGTTCACATGAAAATGAAATGACGTGAGGAACAAGCACCTTTGACTTTTTTTTTTTAGACGACGCAGCAATTATAAGCCGAGTCTCGCTAAACGCGACGGATCGGAACAGAATGTGATGATTACTAATGTCCATTCCTCTCTGAATAACATGCTGGCAGCTCGCTTGGCTGCCAAAGGAGGGAAAAAAAGATGTGGAAATAAAAGAGAGTGATCAGAGACAAGTGAGATGAAATTATAATTTGTGTTAATCGGATACTATTGCCTAGCAACAGGAACGGGGCGGTTGTCCTGGGGAAAATCACTATATTTACCTGCTTTTGTTCTGTTAGTTCAGAACAAGTGATGGGAAAAAAATGTAAAGAGAGAGAGAGAAAATACAGAAAAAACTATTTGGAGAGGATGATATCGATGACATTTATAATATAAGAAATTGCTAATTGTGTTTGTTTTTTTTGGTGTGTTTTTTTGTTATGAAACCACCGATTTTTTTCGTTTTATTCAAATGTTTTCCCTTCTAAGTATGAATTTAATTACTAGTAAAATGAATTTAATAAATTAAATTAATATTTTTTTCTTGTATGCAAGCTTTTTTCTTATTTTTAAATTCATTAATGTATTAATTGAATTACTACTAAAAGTAATGTATACAAACACAATTCAGAAATAATTTTTTTAGTTTCATTCAAATGTTTTTCCTTCTAGTTTTAGATTTAAGGTATTATTAATTTAATTACTAGTAAAATTATTGTATACTTCTGAAAAAAAAAAAATCAGAATACAGATACAGAAATGATAAAAAAAAAGTGTTTATGTAATTATTGTTTTTCTTTTTTGTTTTATTCAAATGTTTTTCCCCTTCTAGCTATTTTTTAGATTTATGTTATCAATTTAATTACTAGTAAGATTAAGTACAGTATACTTTTGAAAAAAAAAAAAATCATAAAATTGTACAATTCATAAAATTATTTTAAAAATATTTGCTGACTTTTAATTTTGTTTTAAGTGTTTTTATTATTCTTAGATGTTTATGTAAACATGTAAACAAAATTTGTTTACACATAAATATGAAAATAATATAAAGGATAGTACAGTATAAAAATATTGTAGAAATTATGTATAAAAATATATAATTTGTTTTATTCAAATGTTTATCCTTCTAAATATTTTTGTTTAAAGGTATTATTAATTTAATTACTAGTAAAATTAATGTATAAATGCATAAAAAAAATCAATATATAAATTAGAAAAAAAGTCTTATTTTCATGTAATCATCGTTTTTGTTTTATTCAAGTGTTTTTAACTTTTTTCAATTTTACAGCATTTTACAGTATTACTTATAAAATTAATGTTTTAATTGTAAATAATTTTTGTAATCATTATTGTTTCTATTTATTTTGATTGATGCAAGTGTTTTCCTTATATTTTTAGATTTAAAGTATTTTTAATTTAATTACTAGTAAAATGTATAAATAAAAAGTCAATTCATAACTTATAATGAAATTTGTTTATTTATATAGAATTATTACTGATCAACTTAAATGTATTAATTTACTATAATTAATAATATAAGCTGACTTCCAAGAACATCATGAAATTTAAAGCAAATAAATAAATAAATAAAATAATACTAATAAATAAAGTAAAACACTCTTAGCATGGCACATTTAAAAAGACAAAACATGGTACTGACCACGGTAACCGTATTCTTTTATATTCTATAACTGTGAAGCTGCTTGGAAACGTTTACTGCATACCTTGGCAGCATCTTTGGGAAGGTCGAAGGGGATTCGTTGGCGTATTTTGGGTGGTAGTTGAGTCAGCACCTGATTCTTGAGTCTGCGAATAATAATCTCGCTCAGACGCTGGTGTAACTCGTCCAAATGAGACGCACCGCGACAGTCCCACTGCCGTCTGGCCCCGAAAAACCTGCACACAAAAACATTTTACTCATTCATAAAACACACTTGTGCTGTATATCCGCCTAATTTCACTAAAATCCTCAGGTACCATCATTGAAATGAGACCTTTTCTATCTTAAATGTGTGTGTGCGTGTCTGTGAGAGATTTCATTATGAATGTTTTATATTTACTGCCGCATATACGAATGATTGACAGGAATTTGTGTGTGCGCTTCCGAGTCTACTCCTCGGTAGATTAATTTGTACTCCGAGACCCTTGTGCGGATCGCTGTCATTTAATTTCTCCGCTGTAGATTTGATAAGAAGAAGAGAGGAGCAAAACTCGTCTCAGATGTTCTGAACACCACTCTTCTTCATGACCCAACTCATATCTGAGCTTCACATTAATGCTGCCGCTACACACACACACATAAACAAATTAGCTCTGCACCAAACCCTAGTCAGCTGTCTACCTAGACAGCATTCTAAAGGATTACAGACTTGCGTTACAGATGTAAAATGTATATTTAACAGAGAAAATAATCCCAGAATGCACTGCGATGAGCTTAGTTGGGGAAAAAATAAGATGGCGGACAGGCAAATTCCATGAAATACTGAAAAATATCAATGAAAATGCTTCGATATAATTAAAATGTTACCAATTCACCTAATAATTGTAGGTAATATTCGACATGGGAAAGCTGTATGGCAAAAACGCAAAGAAAATGGAAAACGCAATTCAAAATATAATAAAAATTTTACTATTTTACCTACTATTTATGAATGATTTGTACAAAGATTCATTCTGTTCTTAAGAATGGTTTTGGGAGTGAATTGAAAAGACATTCACTGTACTCGTAAGAATGGTTTTATGAACATTTTGCACAAATTCGCTCTGCTCATAAGAATGGTTTTGCGAACAATTTGCACGATTTGGTTCTACTTGTACGATTTTTTTTGCAAACAAATTTCCTGAGAAATTCGCTTTGCTAATAAGAATGCTTTTTGCAAACAATGTGCAGAAGAATTTGTTCTGTTCATAAGAATGGTTTTGCGAACAATTTGCACGATTTTGTTCCGCTTGTAAAAAGTTTTTTGCAAACAATTTGCTGAGAAATTCGCTTTGCTAATAAGAATGGATTTTGCAAACAATTTGCAGAAAAATTTGTTCTGCTCACAAGTATGGTTTTACGAATATTATGCACAAATTCATTCTGCATTGTTACGAATGGTTTTGCAAACGATTTGCAGAGAAATTTGAAGTCCTCGTTTGATGAACATTTTGCACAAATTCATTCTGCTTGTAATAAAGCTTTTACAAATATTTTTCACAAATATATCTGTTTGAACGAATGTTTTTGCGAGAGATTTGCAGAGAAATTCACTCTGCTCCTAAGAAGGATTTTGCTAACAATTTGCTGAACAATTTTGCTATACTCGTAAGAAGTTTTACAAATTTTTTTTTTTTTACAAATTCACTGAGCATGAGAATATTTTTGCGAAGGATTTGCAGAAACATGATGCTGTTTTACAAACATTATTCACAAGTTCATTCTACTCGTAAGAATGGTTTCGCAAACATTTTCACAAAATTATTCTGCTTCTTAGAATGGTTTTACAAACAACATGAGTGTTTTTGGTCAAACCTCTCTGCATCTAAATTCTCTAAAATAACAACCAAAGTTTTAATCAATAAAAGTTGCTCGAGGAATAAATAATAATGATAAAACGGTAATGCTAAATTAAAAATGTATTGCAAACCAATTAGTCTTAGTCTTTTAATTAATGTAGCCATTTTAGTGTTAAACTTTTGGCTGTACTTGAACAGTTTTGCCCTTTTTAGTTGTCATTTGAATGCTGTATTGTACATTAAAAAACAAGGGTTTTTACTTGTAGTGTGCGTTGCAGTATTTTTTGGCGTAGTCGCTCCAGGTTCCAAACCTCCGTGGATACAAAGCATCGATTTGCATGAAGAGCTGAAAGAGAGATCAAGAGATCAAAACATCAATCAATGTGACATCATAAATGTCATACACAGAACTAACTTTACACTAGTAACTTCCAATGGGAACAAATAACTTTAAAAAGAGGGACACTTTTATAGTTCTGACCTTGGGCCTTTGCAATCATGAGTTTATTGAAAATCGGTCAGCAGATTTCTGTTTATAGCTGGTGCGAACAAATACTCTGCTGATTAAAGCTGATTAAATCGGGTATTAAGTTCATAAAATGCAAATGTGTTTCATCTAAGAGAAAGTCTCATAGTGCACATTACGCTCAGTTAGTATAAACCTAACAGCGATTATCTTGATGAATTAAGAAAACACTTGTCTTTCATAAGAAGACCAGATAGACGTTTCAAAGGGATTAGAAGAACAATGGAGGTCGAGACTCCCATAATATACACACAAGAGTCATCTTGAGAGGTCTTTGCGTACGCAGTGATGTACATTTTGGCAATGCTTTTGTCCAGTGAACATTTTAAAGAAAGAAAACAGCAGCTCTCACAGTGTACCAAGAAAGTGCACAGAATGTAGCATCCTTCAAAATGAAGCCTTTAGTATTTCCTGAATAATGTATTGGTCAATTAACTGGCCATCAGTGATGGGTAGATCAGCAATAAAAACTAGTGGGAGTAAACACAATATTTAATATAATGAGAATAAAACTGGCTGTGAGGAGTGGAACTGCAGTCTGTTAAATGGGCTTCATTCATAAAACACGAGCAGAATGAATTTAATGTCTAACATTCGGAAAACCATTCATATTGAAGTAAATGTAACACTTTATATAAAACATGGTTTTTATGAACCATTTACTCAGAAATGTGGTCTGTTCATTTTTTTTTTTACAGATTTGTTCTGCTCATATGAATGGTTTTACAAATTATTTGTACATGGAATTCATTCTGTTTATAATGGTTTTGAGAATGATTTGCACAAACAATTTGCTTGTGATGGCTTAGTTAATGATTTAAATATGAATTTGTACTGTTTGTAATGGTTTGTGAATTTACACAAAGATAATTTTTTAAGAATGGTTTTGCAACCAATTTGCAAAGAAATTTGCTCTGCTTGTAAGAATGGTTTTACGAACTTCTTGCAGAAATTCGCCTGTCTCATAAGAATGGTTTTGTGAACAATTTGCATTAAAATTCATTCTGCTCATAAGTAGTTTTGTGAACAATTTTCTGAGAAATATTCAGGAATTCATTCTGCTTGTACGAATGATTTTACGAACAATTTGCAAAGAAATTTGTTATGCTCGTTAGGATGGCTTTACGAACAGTTTGCACATTCTGCTTGTAAAAGTGATTTTGTAAATAATTTGCAAAAGAATTTCGTAATGGTTGTGTAAATATGTGCACAAACATTAGTTCTGTTGTTAAGAATGACTTTGCAGACAATTTGCAAAGTTTGCACATTCTCTCTGCTTGTAAGAGTGATTTTGTAAATGATTCGCAAATGGAATTTGTAATATTCAATTGTTTTGTGAATATTTGCACACAGATTAGTTCTGTTCTTTAGAATTACTTTGCGGACAATTTGCAATAAAATTTGTTCTGCTCATATGGCTTTGCAAACATTTTGCTGAGAAATTTGCTCTGCTCATAACACTGTTTTTTTTTCCAAATGATTTGCTAAAAAATTGGTAAGAATGGTTTGGCAAACATATTTCACAAATGCGTTTTGCTTGTAAGAATGGTTTTATGAATGATTTGCAGAGAAAAATTACTCTGCTTGTAATAATCGTTTTATGAACATTTTGCACAAATTCGTCCTGCTTTTAAGAATGGTTTACGAATGATTTGCAAAGAAATTCGCTCTACTTTTAAGAATGGCTTTCCGAACAATTTGCACAAATTAGCTCTGCTCATAAGAAAAGTTTGAAGACAATTTACACAGAAATCCACTTGATTTGCAAGAATAGATTACGAACAATTTACAGAAAAGCTGAACTAAAAATTAGGAAATAAAGCATTTTCAGTGAGCGATCGACGCTTGTGTACACATCACAACACATCATTAAAGAGTCATTTTCGTATACCTCAAACTAAATATAGCATCCACCCTGACCAAGGTCTACCAGAATTCACTAGCCATGTTTTTTGTTCACTGGAGATGTATAGAAAGATAAATGTTCAATGTTTCAATATTTGAACAATTCACACACAATTCACATGAGTATATTGTTGTACCATCAGTTTAACTTCAATTTAAGTGATTGTTCACCAAGTTTTGTCATCATTTACATCCTCAAGTTGTTCCAATTCTTTCTTCTGCTCAACACAAAAGAATATATTTAGAAAAATGGTGGTAACCAAACAGCTGATGGTCCCCACTGACTTTCATAGTATTTTTCTCTGCACTATAGAAGCCAATGGGGACTATTAACCATTTCATTAGCCGTATTCTTTAAAATGTCTTGGGTTCAACAGAAGAAAGAAATTTCTACAGGTTTGGAAAAACCTGAGGGTCAGTAAAAGATGATAAAATTTTCATTTTTTGGGGGGTGAATTATGCCTTTAAATTAATCCACTCTGACTAAAATCTGCTAGAATACAGCAGCCTGGTTCTTGCATTTCTAAAACCGGCATGGCAGAGTTACAGATTGTGACATGAAAGCAAAGACCCAGACAATGTAAAAAATAAGAAGACAGGGAAAAAAAGAGAGAGAGAGACGGGAACAGAGCGAGACAGTGTGAGGACAAGGGTGTTTGTGGAAACTACAAATATTACTGGCACACCTCTGGACAGAGTAATAACAGCAGAGATGAGACTTGTGCTTTTGAGACCTGTGAAAAAGAGAGCTCTCTCTCTTCCTTCTCATTCAGAGCCGTGGTTCTAAAATCACTTAAAATCCCCTCATTTTTACTCACATCACCCTTGCCATTGATAGTCTGCCTCAACAGAGGTCACTGGGTTACATAAACACCCACGCCAGCGTAATATCGAGGTAAACCGAACAAGGTGGACAAAACCACATGAAATGGGCTAAAATATCCGACACTGGGTTGCTGCATCAAATAAAAGGATAAATGTTGAAAATGATCTCTTGTTTGATTGATTAATTTAATTTGGCTGCGAGTGGGTCATTAGACCAGCAAGATAGTAACTGCGTGACAAATTTCAAGCTGTCACTTTACAAAAGAAATGACAATGACTATAAATGTTTATTCCTAATGTAAACTAATGTGCTGCGCAGGAACAAGAACTTCATGTAGTAATCAGATAATTTTATAGTGAGTACAATAGTAAAATAAATGATTTTAATAACCTAGTGATAATATATGGGGGGGCTTATCAAAACTTTTAGTTTTTGATATTATCGTACTTGCAAATTTGGGTGACATGAGCGATGACTGGAGGATGGGAAATATGTCAGCTACGACAAGATCTCCTCCTGGTTTAGCTCAAACAAAACCATGCTGCATATTACCAAATGGCTTAATAAATCAAAGCAAATGACAAACAGATTTGAAGGAAACCGTACCTCCTCTGGTCTGCCCAGCGCCGGGGTGCCAGTTAGAAGGATGGCACGCTTGGCGTTCTGAATGATTGGCACCAATATTTTACTACGAGCTGCGTTGCGAGATTTCAGGTAGTGGGATTCATCCACCAGGATGACGTCGAATCGTTGCTTGTTCAGGGCCTCCAGCAGGGGGCGTGCGTCCGTCGTGAGCAGCCCGTATCCCAGTATAGTCACTTTGCTAGTGCCGATGCTCCTACAAAACAACAACAACAAAACAACAAATTCAAATGTGCAACAACTTTCTCAATAAATTTACTTGGCCTTATTCAATGCTAAAGTTAATGCTAAAAAACTACAAAATGTCCACTGTCCACCACAAAAACATTTCTGCTTATGTAACTAAGGCGATGGATGTGGAAAAATACAATATTAAAGTAATAGTTCATCATTTACTCACTAAACAGTTGCTAGTTGGTAGCCACTGACTTCCATAGTATTTATTTTCCATTCTATGGAAGTCAGTGGCTACCGGCAACTGTTTGTTTCACAAAATGATCCGTATTAGATGGCGGCGCGTTCACACGCTGCGGCTTCTCTCTCTCCCGACAGAAAGGTGTTTTCGTGTTTTTTGTCTTGTGAGTCGCAGTGTGCTGTACATGTGGAAGAATTGACAATAAAGCAGACTTGACTTGACTTGACTTGATGTTTCAGAATATCTTATTTTGTGCTCAACAGAAAAAAGAAACTCCTAGAGATTAGGGGGGAGTAAATGATGACAGCAATTGCATTTTGAGGTCTCTTTAACCAACAATATTATAGTTCAAGTTTGGACAGATTCAATCAAGTCCCATCCTGAATATTCTCTTCAAATTTGAATGCATTACTAATTATAATTTCTTTTTTTGTCTAAAACAAATATAATTTTGGATCATGACTTACAAACGTACAAACCTGTCAAAACAGAAACTGTGTACACTTAGATACATTTATAATAGTTTATATTATTAGTGTTTTCATTGGAGCCACAAGACCGTAAAAGCATTTTACGAATCTCACGCAACATAACATTCGTGAAAATCTAGGTTCTTCTAAAAACTGAGTTGAAAATGCATCAAAATACCATTGAAATGAAGTGTAAAGGCTTTGACGTAAACAACAAACGTCGAAAACTATAAACTTACAGAGTTAGTTGCGCTTGGCATTTAACGTTACATTTTGTCTAAAAACAAAACTTTTTTTTAATCACGACGTACAAACTTACAAATCCATCACAAAAGAAACTGTCTAAACTTAAATATATTTATATCAGTTTATATTATTAGTGTATTTATTGTAGCCACAAGGTGGTAAAATCATTTATAAATTTTTAGGTTTTACTGAATTTATTTTCATACACACTATACGAAACCACGAGCTAAGATAAGCTAAGCTAAACTTTCACGCAAGAAACAAAAACAATTTTTGGTCACACCACTTCCATGTCGTTTGTAAAAAATTTAGCTTTCCTCTAAAAACTGAGTTGAAAATGCTTAATTTTACTGAAATGAGGTGTAGAGGCTGTCGACAGATGTCGAAAATAAAATTAAACAATTATAGATTTAGTTGCGCTTAGCATTTAACATTACATTTTGTCTAAAACTAATTTTTAATCACGTGATTTTTAAAATGCAATTTTTAATCACGAGATACAAACTTACAAATCCATCACAACAGAAACGGTGTACACTGTAGATATATTCACAACAGTTTATATTATTAGCGTTTTCATTGGAGTCACAAGGTCATAAAAGCATTTTACGTTTTTTTCACCTCATAGTCTCCCACTACAGACTGTGTAAAGATGCCAGCCGTACACTGAGAGGAAATGATGTTTGTTCCTGCTTTGCACTATGAGCCATTAGAGTTAAAATATCATTCACCATGCTGACAGGCCTTTATCAAGCTCGGAGGGAGATGTTGCCATGGCAACGACTTTACAGGTCGACTCAACCCCGGGCCAGAATTCTCAGGGTAAACAGAGCAATTTGTGAGCCTCTTTTTAGAAGCATCAATAACAGGCAAAAAGACAACATGACCCTCTGACTGCATGGGCTGTACAATCAATCCCAGCATCCTCTGTGGAATGGCAGCTCTCATAAGCTCTCTCCCACTCCTAAGATAGAGCTAAAGTATTCTTCGTGCGAGATTCGTAGCCATAAAAGGTGAGCTAATTTAGGATTTGTTTAATATCTCTCTGGGGAGGTGATTTGATTTCATATGTCTGCCGTGTAATTTGTATTGTGGTATAATTTTGTAGTCAGTGAACAGGAGATTTTACTTCAGTTTTGTATTTCTACAGGCTGAAAATCTGCAAGAACGGTTTTCATAACTTCTAAAGCTACTCATAAAAGTGTGACACAAAGAGGGGGAAAAATTTTTTATAAATCAAGAGATTTCTTCCCAACTTTTCCGGAGGCTTCTGCAAAGTCATACTCAGTCATAAATTTCATGAATCAATTTTGCCACTATGATTAAACTCACACACAGTCTGAAAGAATCAATGTTGCATTTTGAGCAAAAAATCTCTTGGCCACCAGTGCAGACATCCTCCAGTACGGTCCACTGGATCGCAATGAATTACGAACCGATGTCCCTCTTTTTTTTTCAGGGACTGCAAAACAAACTTAAACGATCGATTACTAAGATGCCCAGTTGGTGTGTGTCAAAATGTAGCTACAATTTACACGTCATTAAACTTTCTCCGCTTGAACAGCATTCAGATGTTTATGTGACATTTAATATTTAGATTACATGGTCATTTTTAAGATGCTTAGTGGATGTTTGGACATAAATATGACGCGTGAAATAGCATGCAATGTTTTCCAGATGGTCTGCTCTCCCAAAAATGTCTCTGCAAAACATTGTGTGTACTGGAATTATGATATTAGGAAAGCAATGTGCAAATATTGTGACAATAACTTCTTTTGAATAAATGAATATATATAAAAAAAGCAA